TAAGTGCTTAATAAATATTTTTCAAATGGAGTAAGTGCTTGAGTATGAGTTTAGTCTTTATGGTTAGAATAAATGAAGAACAACTTAAATGCACACCACAAAAGTCCAAACCATGTGGGAGTGACATACACAGCATATGTAGCTTATGATCTAAGTTCTGCAGTGATTTAGACAGATGCCCAACTTCTTTATACAATGGAATTCACTTGTATTGTCTTGATAGGACTGTCACAGTAATGCAATTAGAGGTATACCAGTGTCAGATATTTTTAGGGATATGGAGAGTTGCTTTTAGAGTAGACCATTGGTTGTCAACCTTTGGAGCACATCCACATCCCCTGAGAGCTTGTTAAAGCTCGGATTGCTGGGCCTGGCCTCAGAGTATCTGATTTGGAAGGTCTCTAGTGGTAGTCAGGTTTTTATTTCTACAAGTTCCTGGCTAATAGTGATACCATTGATTCAAGGACCATACTTTGCTAAATCACTGGAGTAGGCTTGTAATTTGTTGGATGTTGATTTCAACCATGGAAAATTTCCATGTACTAATAGTATGCTCATAAAAGCTGGGTGTCATAAAGGTATGTTTAACATTGACCCAGAGTTTTAATTTGAAACTTTAAAATAAAAAAAATTGGGCTGGAGAATGTAGCTCAGTGGTAGAATGCCTGCTTAGCATGTATGAGGGCCTGGATTAGATCCCTGGCCCAGAAAACAAAACAAACCCAAAACTGGTTGTTGGTAGTTTATAAACAGTGCTTTAAAAAAAAAAATCTCACTTTTAAAATGCTTTTGTACTCATCTACTCTTACACACTCAATTGGTTTTACTTTTTATTATCTACATACTGGTGTGAAACTGAACTTTCCTAACACATATTTCAGTCTATTCTTTAAAGCTTAATATAACCTGAAAGAGGAAATAAAATACGGATAAGTGGGAAACTGATGGGGATGTTAACTAATTACAGGCAGCTGTAGCAAAACCAATCATTGCTTTGACCTCACTTAGCATTTCATTTGAGGTTTACTATGCAGTTTATTGAAGTCATTTTCTTGTTACCTTGAGAGTTATTACTGCCATTATTTTGTTGCTTGATAAACTGAGGCCTAATGAAAGCTTTTGACCAAGGTTATGCTGCAGAAATTCAGGAACCTGGGCTGTGCCCTGATCTTTGAAGGTTGGAGTCCTTGGGTTTTAGTTGAATTCTTTGTCTGCTGCTGTATTTTGTTTTCTTATTAAGAACATTGCATCTTAAGGGCAAACCCTAAGGGGTCTCCATTTTTTTCTACTACAGGAACAATAATAAGCATCTGACATGCCTTCCCAAGTCTGAGATTGCATAAAAACAAATCACCAATGCTTACAATTGGGTGGTAGAGCTATGTCATTCATTTTCTAATTAAAATATCCAACATCATCCTTTTGGGGGAAGTTTGTATTGCTGTTGCTATCAGGTAAACAATAAAGATACAACACTGAAAGCAAAAGAATTTGTTACCAGAACCCATCAATAATGTTAGCAAACTGATGTTTTAAATAAGAGAAAGGACAGCTGGGGAAGTTCAGGAGGAGAAAATGGCTCTGTGCTGTCTCTGTACATTGAAATTTGGGGAATAATGAAATTGGAACACCTCCCTTAACTGGCTGGGAAGAGAAGAAAGAAATGGAATAAAAACGTTGGCTTGGTATTGCATTACAGAAGCCTAGGGCCAGTGGGTTTGGTTGCCTTTCAGACAAAAGAGATTTTAGTGCTAGCTCTAAGGTGAGAATTTACACCCCTCTCTTCCTCCATGCACAGTGCTGAGAATTGAACCCAGGGCCTTTTGCCAGCCCTTTTCTATTTTTTTATTTTGGGGCAATGTTTCTAACCATTAAGTATGGTTAGAAGTAGGCTGTGCTCCAATTTTATTTATTTATTTCATTTTTTTTGGTACCGGAGATCGAACTCAGGACCTTGTGCTTGTGAGACAGGTGGCGGCACCACTGAGCTAAAGCCCTGGGCCATGTGCTCCAACTTTAGATCCTCCTGCCCCATCTTCCATTTGTTTTTAATTTTTATTTATTTATTTATTTATTTATTTATTTTCTGGTACTGGGGACCTAACTCAGGACCTTGCACTTTAGAGGCAGGCACTGTTCCACTGGGCTAAATCCCCAGCGCATTTATTTTTAATTTTGAAACAGCTTCTCAGTGCGTCACTGACTTGCCCAGACTGGGCTTCAATTTGCTGTCCTCCTCCCTCAATCTGCCGGAGTGCGGGATTACAGAATGCCACCACACCCAGTTTACAAATGTTTTTATTGTACATCTCACAGCTTCCATAGCTTGCGCTTTGAGTTACACCCTCCCCTGCATGTTTTCTCTTTTTCCTTCTGCACATTCAGCCAGTGGACACTTTCTGAGCACTTTATTTGGGGCATACATTGTGCTGGGAATTTCTTTCAGGAGCTTCCTTTTCTTGTCTAGGGATGCTTAAACCTTCTCTGTTTTTTTTTTGTTTGTTTGTTTGTTTTTTGGTACCAGGGATCGAACTTGGGACCTTCCACTTGCCAGGCAGGCTGCGGAACTACTGAGCTAAAACCCCGGCCCCTTCTGTTTTAAAAATGAAATAGCAAAGTTTTATGACTTCTAGAGCTTCTGTTTTTAACATACATTTGTTTTTGATGGCAAGCTACTTGAAAACCCATTATTCTTTAATCTCTTCAGCACATACTTTCCACTTTGTCTGGCAGTGTGTTAGGGATGGGCACATGAAGGGCAGCCTTGCTGGATCTTTCTTCCTGCTGGAAGAGAAGGCCATTCACTGAGTTCATGTGTTTTCTTCCTTGCTTGCTCATTCCTAGCTCTCTGGCAGGCCAGCTTCTACGCCTTCCTTCATGCTGAAATACAAGTCCCTAAAGACCTAGTCATCTTATCTGTCAGCTTTTTTCAGAGCTGAGCCTGTGTGATCTCTTAGCCGAAATTGACACTGCAGTCTGCCCGCTCTGAATCCATATCAGTTTTGACCTCCTGATAGTGTATGGGCTTCTCTACCGTTCCAGCATCTGCTGCCCACCCCTCACTCCCCACATACAGCCATCACAGGGTGGTGACTCCTGAATCTCACTTCCAATCCCAGCATCTCCCAAAAGCACAGATTTCAAAGTGCTCACATTCATAAACCTCTTCCACCTGAGAGGTTAACATCCTCCTGCATGTTAGGTTATGCAGAACAACCCCCACCTTATACCAAGACTCGTGTTCTTGTCTCCCTCACATAGTCTTTGGTGATGTTCTGTTGGGTTTCAGCCCTCACACGTCCCTGAGTCAGGCATCCTTCCACATTTGCAGTCTTCTGAGGTCTCCGAGTCTTAACTGCTTGGGTTTCCCTCACTCTTGGCTTGGTAAAGCTCCCAAAGTAGAGCTCTGATGAGGTGAGTTCCTTACTCAGAAATCCTTGGCGGTTCCCACTTCTCCCAAAGGGAGTCCAGAGAGCTGGATGAAGGCTTCCCTTGCCTGGCACTAGAAAACCTTTCAGGTGTGAGCTCTGCATATTCTCACCCAAGTTCTTCCATCTGGCCGTCCTGCTTATCACTCCAGACTCTCCTGGCTCATTCCTCTGTCCTTACTTCACTTTTCTTCTTCTTCTCCTCTTCTAGTTTCCCATTAGCTTCCTGTTCTTTTTATTTATTTATTTAAATTTTTTTCCCCCAGTACTGGGAATCAAACTCAGGACCTTGTGCTTGCCAGGCAGGTACGGAACCACTGAGCTACATCCCCAGCCCAACTTCCTGTTCTTTTATGTATTTTTTTTTTTTTTTTTTGGTACCGGGGATTGAACTCGGGTCCTTGCACTTGCGAAGCAGGCAGTGAAACCACTGAGCTAAATCCCCGGCCCTTCCTGTTCTTTTAAGGTGCAGCTCAGGTGCATTTTTTTCCATAATTCCTTCCCATGCCACAAGTCATCTTTGTTTCTCTGAATTTCTGTAACAGTTGATGGACATTTCTGTGATACTGTGTAGTGGTGTGATTTGGGAAACTAATGTATTTTTTATCCTAGATCACAAGCTCCCTGCGGGTAGGACAGTGATCATCTGGCAGCCATTTTAGTCACCTGGCTCAGGTCTTAACACCTTTGCTTAATAAATGTCTATTGAATGGATGGGTGAGGAATTTGTCATTTATTTTGACAATAAACAGTTTCAAGTCACTGCCAGTTTGGCAAACTATAGTCTTTGAGTCACAGCAGCCCTCTTCCCATTTATGTGAATAAAGTTTTATTGCAATATAATAACTAACATTGATTGAATGGTCCACAAAACTCCAGATAGTTACTATCTGCCCTTTTGGGGGGGTTGTCAAACTCTGGTCAACACTATTGCCCTGGCTTTTAAAGGACACAATCAGCCATGGAAAGGAGTTAAGAAAACATTACATGCTTAAACTCTCAGCTTCTTGCTTTGACTTTCTGACATACCTATGTCCTACAATAGGATGATGGGCTATTTATCTTATTTAAATTGAACAATCAATTTTGTCATAAGAATGGGCTACCAGGGCCGGGAATTTAGCTCAGTGGTTCTGCCGCCTGCCTTGCAAATACAAGGACCTGAGTTCGATCCCTGGTACCAAAAAAAAGAAAAGAAAAGAGAAAAGAATGGGCTACCAGGTTTACTAGATTTGATACGTAGTTTCTTGAGATTAGAGTGGGAATTTCTGGGTTGAAGTTACACTGTCAGCCTGTATGTAATTAAAAATATCTCTAAAATGTTTGATATTCTCAGTGAAAAATACTCAGCAAGGGTCATTCGGCTGTGCCACCAAAGCGATGCCAGCCTTAGAAACTTACTGAATTTTGCCTGTGAAAGCAGCAAATAGCTTTGCCCTGTGCCTGTACTCTGCCTAATAATTTGCTCTCCAGATCTGAGGAGGAATGTGAGGGGTTGTCAAGGATTAGAGGAAAAGATTTGTGATTCCTCACATTAATACTGTGTTGTCTGTTTTTCTTTTTTCTTTTTAGAGGGACGTATGGTCATCCAGGATGTTCCTGTTGCAACCAGCAGAGGGCATGTGGAGAACACACCTGATCTCGTTGCAGACTCCGCCTACTACAGCAGCTTTTACCAGCCACCTCTGTTTCCATACTACAACAATCTGTACAACTACCCGCAGTACTCCATGGCCTTGGCTGCTGATTCCTCTGCTGGGGATGTGGGAAGTACCCTTGGGGGATCCCCCGGGAAGAACAGCCTTCGGAGCCTTCCAGGGCCTTATGTGCCTGGTCAGACTGGAAACCAGTGGCAGGTATACTTCCCAGAGAGTTAACCTAATATGTGAGCAACATACATGAATAGAACATACAAGTATGTGCATAAACATACATATTCACAGAGACACGTTTACACACATGCACCGTGTCCATGCCCAGTTCAACACACATAAGTGCAGTGTATAAATTGCATAATTTTTCACTCTGCTAATAATACCACTTACTCCCAGAGGCTGGCTGCAAGGAATTGTAAAGAAGTATACTTATATTTGGGTTAATTTTCAGATGTTACTTTTTTCACATTATCCTGTTGATTAAATACCTATTTGGCCAGTGTTGGATGCACAAGTAGCTTACTGGTTGAGGCCCCACCTCCTCTGGCCTTGTTTGCCAGTGAGCAGCTTACAAAATGCTAGGTGCAGCCTTGTGGGTGGCAGTAATCTTCCTCGTAAATTTGTACCCTAGGAAGGAAAAGTGTTGTAAGCTGTGTGTTTGTATAGAGGAGAAGTAAGAAAACAAATTAGGAAACTTGTGCTAAGTCAGACTTGGGGTGCATTTTTTGCTAGGAATGGAAGTTAGTCTTCTATACTCTTAGACATGTATTGTTGAACTAGTATGCAAGCAAGAGCTTTTAATATTTGGAGTAAAACAAAGCATTTTGTTTTCTTGGGAAAAGAGCTTATGTAAAAATGTTGTGCTTGGGCTGGGGATTTAGCTCAGTGGTTTTGCCACCTGCTGCACAAGCGCAAGGACCTGAGTTCGATCCCCGTACCCGTACCAAAAAAAAAAAAAGTGCTTTCTTAGGTGTAACCGCTTCCACCATACCAGTGTATTAGCAGCAGATTCAAGGTACCAAAAGCATTCAGAAGCTAGATGACAATGCATATGTTTGTTCTGGGAATCCATAAACGGGTGAGGTTAGACTTTCTGATCCTGTGCAAACTGTTCTCATTTTGCAATTACCATGCCCAGGATTTCTCAGCTGGGATTTGATTCCAACACTATATAACATACACGTTTGGGAGTTAGTGCAAGTCTTTGAACTTTCTGTTTTTCTTCTTTGTTTTCCCAGCTTTTTTGAAGTATAGTTGACAAAAAATTGTATACATCTTAAGTTGCACAGTGTTATTGATGTATATATGTATTGTGGAGTGATTACCAGGATGAAGCTAATTAATAGATCTATCAACTCCACTTTTTGTATAATGAGAACACTTAAGATGTAGTCTCTTGGAATTTTTCAGATATACAGTATTTTAACTAAGGTCACGATACTGCACATTATTTTCAGAATTTATTCATCTTATAACTAAGTTTGTAATCTTTTGACGAATATCTCCCCATTCTCCCCACCCTAGTCCCTGGCAACCACTGTTTTACTTCTTCTTTTTTTTTTTTTTGGTACTGGGGGTTGAACTCAGGACTTTGTGATTGTGAGGGAGGCGCAGTACCACTGAGCTAAATCCCTGGCCCTACTGTTTTACTTCTGATTCTGTGACTTTAGGTTTTTTTTTTTTTTTACGGAATCCTGTACTTTCTTACGCCCACTTCAAAACAATTGGAATTGAAATTTTCCTCTGAGCAATTCTATTTCATTTTGCCTCTCCCTTTCTTCTTTAGGTGGGGGAAGTTGTTAATATTCAAGTCATCTCAGTTAATGGATTCCTTTGCTGTCCTCAGGGATTAATCCTCTGAGCCACAAATTTCCTTAAGTTTTCTATTTGTTTTACTTTTGGAATCATACTTTTTTGAAGGGGATTTTAAACACATTCATTGCTATTAGAATTGAGAGGAAATATTAAGTGTAAAGGAAGAAGCTTCAAGAGTGGACCCCTTTGAGCTTTTCCAAGTGCAGTTGGATTTTATGATTTGGGCCAGATTTTAGGTTGATTTCTTTTGGAATCTCTTTTGAAAGTAGAAGTAAACATCTAAAAGATAGTGGTAATAAAATAGCTCATCCTGAAGATGACAGGGAAGAGAGACTTCTGTTGGAGTGCCCTAGTTTTCTGGCTGCTTGCAAGCTTTGAGAGTAAAGTAGGGGAATGGTCCTCTTAAATACCTGTTAGATTAGGTGGTAAAGGATGAGAAAGAATAATCTTAATATTTTTCTGAAAGGAAGATAGCTCTCTCAGCAAAGTCAGAAATCTCCCACACTAGCTGTCCTTCCTTGTCAAAACCTTTCACATGACAGATAGTACCTGATAGTAATTCTTACATTTCCTGGAAAGCCTGGAAAAGGTCTGACCGAGAGCTTGGATTCTCTTGGTCATCCCTTTCCAAGGTGTACTATCTGCCTCCCAATATATATAGCCTGGGAAGACAGTTTCTGAGCAGCGATGTTGCCTGGTCCTAGACAGCTGAGGTCCTTGAGGGCACATCTGGTGAGAGAGAAGCTTGACAGCCTGTACTTACTACCAGGATGGGAGGGACAGTTTTGGCTAGTTTTAGACCTGAGGTAGGGGACCTGCAGTTTTGATGTTTAGCACCTGCTCTAGAACACACAGGGCTGGAGAGAGGCACCACTGGTTAGAGGTCAGGAGAGACATGAAGCATCATTTCACATATGTTTCTTTTCCCTGAACGTAGGTGTAATATTCCCTAGACAGTGGTTACTGTCTCATATAACAAGTTCTCTTACAGCAGCATGTCCTGCTGTCTTACTGTGGTTGACAGTCATTCTTCTTAGTTAATAATAACATAAGTAATGAGATCTTTAATTCACTGAGTAGTTAGTCTGACCCAAGAGGTAAGTGGTTGGTCTTTTTATTGAGATTCAGAGGGCTGACTTACCTGCGGTCATAGAGTGACTGACCAGTAAAGGAGTCAGTTTGAATCCGTGCTGGTCTGACTCTGAAGTGTGTGTCAGCACTACCTGGTTAACACTGGGTCTGCATAAAAAAAAAAAAATCAAAGCTATGGAAACTGCCTTCCAGATGCCCTCTGTGAGCTGAGACTTCAGGAGAATGTGCAGAATGTGCACTTTATCCTCCAGATCTGCCAGTGAGCCTTAGCTGGGGGATCAGTTCAGTATGAACACCCAGGACCTCATTTAGTTATTTAGGGGTTGGAATTACGACCTAAGCCCTTTGTTTCCTGTTGATATCTTCTTAGAGCTCACTTCTGATTTCTTCATTTGTGGAGGTCAGAAATAAGCAGGAATTTCTAGAGCAGTGCTTATGGGTGATTACCTCACATAAGCTGAGAATAGAGCCCTGATTCTTTCCTGAAATATGCAGTCTCTGCTATAAGTATTTAAAATATGATGAATTCCTTGCTATTTTGAAATTACAGTACTCTTGGAATCTACAAACTAATTTTCTGTGGCTATGGTTATTACCAAAGCACATTTAGGCACTCATGCAATGTGTGCATAACATAAAAATGTTCTTGACAGTTTAGATGGATATAGGGGCTCCACCATATGGCCTGTCCCTTCTTAAACTGTGGATTAATCTTATAACCAAATGGAAAAACAAGCTTGACTTAGTTTTTTAGTTATGTCTACAAAAATTACAGTGATGCCTCGGTTCATGAACTTAATTCTTTCTACGATTCTGCTCGCTAACTGAATTGGAAGAGAATTGAATCAAATTTCCCCATAAGGTCCACATTGAACCTAACCATTGAATTTGATTCAGTTCTCATCCAGCTGGGTTTGTGACCAGAATTGTGGAAAGAATTAAGTTTGTGAACCAAGGTACCATTGTTAGTTTTATTGGAAATAAACTTTTACATTACAAGAGCCAACATAGATATAACTCAGCTGTTTGCAAAGTGACAAATTCAGATCAGTGCAGTGATAATCAGAGCTGGAATAGATCCTGGAGAGTTCTAGTCCAATGCCCATTCTACTACAGAGAAAACTGGTCCAGAGCTGAAGGTATTGGGCTAGAAGCTACAGGTATTGATAACCACTCTGTTGATCTGCAGAAGGCTGTCATGTGTTGTAAGAAAACCTGACTTCTAGCTCTGGAAGATTCATATTTAGTTCTAACTTAAGATTTAGCTATGGAACCTTTAGCAAAATACTTTATTCACTAAATCTCAATTTTCTTATCTGTAAAGTGGGCATACTATAATCTTCATAGGACTGTTGCATGGATTCCTAAGGCATTATGGTAACTGAAGTGAGATGATCAGCTTTTGTTTCTATGTAAACCAAGAAGTGCTGTGCTGATAGTAACTGCAGTGAGTTTATTTCACTTTTCAGTATTTCCACTTGGTCTTGCTTTTTAAAAATCTATTTAATTCTTCATTGTTTCTTTATATGGATTTTAGTTAGCAACATCAGGTCCCTCTCGTAACAAGGTAGGATGTAAATATACATTTTAATTATTACTAAAAGATTGACAAGCCTGACATGGTGGCACTTGGCTGTAATCCAGGGACTTGGGAGGCTAAGGCAGGAGAATCGTCATGTCCAAGGGCAGCCTGGTCAACTTAGACTGTCTCAAAAAAGATAAAAAAGACAATGACGTGAATATGGGCCAAGTATGAATGTATACAGAGTAATTTTTGTGTCATTGGTGAAGAATTTGACTCACTTAGGAAACAAAACATTAAGCATAAAGTTTATGATAATGGTGCAAAATGTATTCATTAAGATATTTATGAAGAAGTACAGTGTTAGATGAAAACCTGCAGATGTTACTTTTAGCTAATGTGGAAGGCATAGGAATGGGTGGCTCACTTTATAATCAGAGTCATCTTTGTAACCATCAGAAGACTCAGGAACAGGAATCTGGGGTAAGAGAGTCCTCACCTTGCTGTTTTTTCTGAGAGATGCTCAGACTTTGCTTTTTTGACTTTGCCTTGTCTCTCCTGGTGGTAGCTTTCCAGGGAGAATGGGTTGAGGTTCTCCCATGGCGACTGCCCTGTTTTTCCATCTCCATTGTGAGATAGCTGCCTGTGGGAGAACCTACGGGGTCTTCTGCTCCTGGCTGCCATAGGTCCCACCCAGATTCAACCCAAGGCCTGGAATTCTATTCTCTTGCATTCACTTTCTTGATTCTATTGCTAAGACTTAACTTTCCTC